CTTCCTTGATCTTCTGCACAATATCCTCATCAAAGAGAAGAGCCTCATTTAACCTCCATCTTAGACCTCCCGTCCACCTTTTCCCCCATCCTATTTTCATTATGACTGGGGCATGGTCCGAAAAAGTTCTTGTCTCTATTTCTATTTTAACCAGCATTTCAATGAGTTGATGATCTATTAGAATATAATCCAGTCTCGAGTATATCTCATGTGCATTAGAGAAGAAGGTATAATCTCTGTCTTTCATATGCATAATTCTCCAGGTGTCCACCAGTTGGTACTCGTGGATCGCCTTCTTCAAGGCTCTCAGAGACCTACCCCCCTCTCTCTGCACAAGGGAGGTTGCATCCTTTTGTGGGTCCATACAAAGATTTAAATCTCCTGCTATTATCAAACGCCCTTTTTTAAAGTCTATTAATTTTTTCAACAAACCCTTCAAAAAGATCTCAGGTTTCTTGTTGGGGCAGTATATATATTGGCTAGTGTACATTCAATTCCCTGAAGTTTACCCTTCAAAAACAGGAATCTCCCTTCCGGGTCAGTCTTTCTATCTTCCAACTCAAATCTCATATTCTTTGCCAATCCTATTGCCACCCCCTTTGCTCTTTTGATTGGAGAGTCAGCATAATACCATGTTGGATAAAATTTGGATTTTAATTTCACATTTGATTCTATCTCAAAATGTGTCTCCTGTAGAAATACCACTGACGTTGCCCTGTGATGTAACTCTTTAAACATTTTAAATGGTCTATCTTTTCCCAGGACAATTCAACCCATTCACATTATATGTTATAAACTGTATTTCTTCCATCCTTCTTAATTCTGTCTCTCTCTCTTCTAGTTCGTCTCTTCCTATTAGGCCCGAATATCTTGCAGAATATTAGCCCCACGGCCCTCCCCCCCCCCCCCCCCCCCCCCCCCCCTCCCCCCCACCCAACTCATCAGTTCACCATCAAGTTCTTTTTTTCCCAAGCCATCCGCTATTTGTTGGCTACAACTGCTGTTCATACCCAGTGATAGTCTCGGACTGTTTCCTGAGCTAGTGTCCATTTCCCCTTTAGAGCTTGTGCCTTGGGCCCTTTCTGGCGTAATGTTTCCATATGATGTAAATTTCTTTATCGTGCCTGATTGAGACCCTTTGAGCCCTGCTCCCTTAGGACCTTTATTCTTCATATCCTCTTTAAGTCTTTTGCCTTCTATATTCTCTAGATGGAAATTGTACCTCTCCCTTATGATTTATGATCCAGACGGGTTTACTACTTTTGCTTATGCTCTCCTAGGGGTGCGTGGGACTCTTCTCTTCTGAACCCAGGGAATCCTCCCCTCTCCTCCTTAACCCCTTGGACTCCAATGTCACTCAGGAGTCAACTATACAATAGACAATAGACCCCCAGCAGCTCTCACTCACCCTTCTCTTCCCAGGACGGTAGCTCCAAGTTTGGGTGGAGGGCCTTCACAACAACTCTGTCCTGGGGGGGGGTCCTCTGGGCTTCCAACGCTGTAGCTCCTTTTCTCTGTCTGGATTTCATCCAAGGGATGCAGGGTGGGTCTCCTGGCACTCCCGGGTCTCCCTGGCCCAGGATCAAGCAGTCAGCTGGCCGGGGGCTCCAGGCAGCAGTGAACCAGGGGCTACAGACAGTAGGTAGCCGGGGTTTATGGGCAGCAGTTGGCCGGGGGGTTGTGGGCGACAGAGAGCCGGTAGCCTAAGCCGGCGTCTCCCTGTCAGTCAGGCGGCCGGCCGGCTTCCTCTTCTCCCAGAGGTCCTCCGCGGCTACCACACGCCCCCGCCACGTCACCTCGTCCTCCAGCGGTCCGGATCTCTCTCTCGTGAAGCACCGGAGGGGCCGGCGCCTCACTGCAACCTTCGTCCGGCTTCCATCACCGGCTCTCCGGGCTCTGTTCAGCGTCCCTCCAGACTCCGGTGAGTCACGTCCTAAGGGTCACTAGGGAGGTCGGGGAGCGGAACCTAGCCGATAGCTAGTGCCACTCACTCCCCACTGCCGCCATGTTCAGGCTCCTCCCCTCCATTTCCTACTATACTGATCAGCTTAACCCTCCTATTCTGCAATAAGCCAGGATGAATGTAATCTTGAAGCTTTCTGACAAAACAACGTGGGGTGAAACTGTTGGGAAAAAAAACAGATGAGAAATACATACAATCAATGTATGAAACATACAATACACCATGAAAAAAGTAGGCTGCTGTTGGCAGTAGGTCCATGCTTTCCAGCAATGCTGCCTTCAGGGGTTGTAAGTTCATTCCACAACATGTGCATCAGGGATGATGGCTGATTTACTCTGCCTCAGCTCTTAGGATGGAGTCTGAGCTTCCAAGATGCACCTGTATCCTTTTATTAGAATGAAGGATGATGGGAGCTTTTATTACCTAATCAGTTTCTGGTTTCTGCAAGATAGTAAATTTAATTTGGGCTCCATCCAGTGGCCACACTTAATATTACAGGGAGGACAAACATAATGAATTTCCCTGCTGAAGGCAGAACAGTCTGCAGTCTGACAGTTCTGTGTATAGTTACAATTACTGAATATTATCTGTGGCCCTTTGGTGATGTCAGGGACCATATTTGAAGCCCTCTACTTCAAGTAAGTTGACCCTCAGGGATCTAAACTTATGGTTGAGTTACTGGTGATAAATCTGTACAGGGATCTCTTCACATCTCATATCAAGAAAAAACAAATCTGGTCTCTATTTAGCCCTGGGGTCACAGTTTGGGGTCACAGTTTGGTGTCTTCTCAGTAACAGAACTCACTCCACCAACAGATCAGAAATGGAAGATCTGGAGAAGATCCCCCCCGGGGAAAGTGGGGGGGGTGTCATCCACCTCCGTAGAACATGATTCTAGTCTCACATTTCTATCAGGTTGCAGTTTTCTAATATTTGGAGAACATTTAGTATCTGCTGGAACAGATTGAACATGAGATGTTAAGTGTTCTTGCATAGCAGGAACACTTATTGTTATCTCACATATATATTCTTATTCTTATTATTATAGCCATATTTACCACCCTAACTCCTCCCACAGTTTTTACACTACATAGACAAGTAATATACCGAAACGTGCGGATTGTTCCCAATCGGAATGCTATTACTTTGTGCAACGTTTCGCTGAATCGTTCAAGAAATATCGCGGTTTTTGTGGAGAAATTTTCGCATAGGAATGAATGGTGCATCTAGAGTGGGAGCAGAGCACAGCTACAGTGTGGAAGGAAAAATCAGAACATGATTTGTAAACTGCCATCACTCTGTCATTTTCAAGCCCACCTACACAAATATATCTTATATCAAAACGTTCAGCTATCCCTGCTGTCACTAAAAATGTTCACGGCTAAGCCATACTCCTGATAGTTTTCACAATATGACCATTTGTTTGCAACTCACCCCTCCCATTGACTTTCATTGAAACTTCACTCACAGCCACCTGAAATGTTAAGGGACATTTTTAAACTGCAACTGTGCCTTCATTTTTAATATTTCAGAGACATACTATACATCAAAATGTAGGTCTATTTCTTGTGATTCTCACAATATCAAGCTCTTCGATTTATACTTTTAAAACTACAAGTGTTTGAAGATGGCAATTGCCAGTAAAGTTTGCAAGTTGGAGCAGTGTGTTTAGAAAAGCCTGTCAGATTCCTGTGACTGACTGACTGAGTTGCTATAGCAACCAAAGATGACTCAGGCAGATGAGTCACCAGGCTGGACTGTGAGCTGCAAAATACAAGCTGAAATGCATTTCTCAGTCTATCAGGCTTGCCATGTGCACTGCTTACATTTCATCAATCACTTGGTTACGGTTGGATGCAAGAATACTTCACACAATTTCCCCAGAAATTGTACCTTTTCTAGTTATATATATTTTTCTCTTTTTGTCTTTCAGATGTTTTTCTTCTCTGTAATCTGGAGTATTATATCCAAGGTGAGGAATGTTGATTATTTGATCTGTAGGGCTTTATTTAGAGGAATTATGTTGAGTTTTGCAGTTTTGATCATATTTGATCCGTGACGTCACCCAGGATCCCCGGCCCGTTAGTTTCTCTGGCAGGGATCTGTCATTTAGAGCAGGAAGTGCTACCACTGATAAATGGCAGTTCCCTGGCCACTGTTTGTAAAAAGAAGTCACTTATAAAGGTGTACGTCCTACTACTCTGCAACTTCACGTGTAGGTGGAAGATATCCTCCAACCAGGTTATTTAAAGGGTACCTCCATGTTCTTGGGGGAAAAAAAATAGCAAATTAATATATATATAGTAAATATAATTGTGACACAAGTCATATTTAAATTGAACACTATTAAAAATTCCCTTTCCTCATTAATCTGCAGCCGCTGTAAGTTTCTGTAAAATTCAATATGGCAACCTGGAGGAGTTCTGTACACAGACAGAACGCCCTGCAGGTGTGTAAATTCCTGATTGTGTGATTGGTTCATTGATATCCCCAGAATGTCATTTTTGGTGAGATACTCACAAAGGGAATTAACATTAAAGGAATGCAGACCCTGCCACCTGTAGTCTGTCTGCAGTCTCTGACCATCTCCTGTAGTCTGTCTGTAGTCTCTAACCATCTCTTGTAGTATGTCTGCAGTCTCTGACCATCTCCTGTAGTCTGTCTGTAGTCTCTGACCATCTTCTGTAGTATGCAGTCTCTGACCATCTCCTGTAGTCTGTCTGCAGTCTCTGACCATCTTCTGTAGTATGTCTGCAATCTCTGACCATCTCCTGTAGTATGTCTGCAGTCTCTGACCATCTTCTGTAGTATGTCTGCAATCTCTGACCATCTCCTGTAGTATGTCTGTAGTCTCTGGTCATCTCCTGTAGTATATCTGCAGTCTCTGACTATCTCCTGTAGTATATCTGCAGTCTCTGGTCATCTCCTGTAGTATATCTGCAGTCTCTGACTATCTCCTGTAGTATATCTGCAGTCTCTGACTATCTCCTGTAGTATATCTGCAGTCTCTGACCATCTCCTGTAGTATATCTGCAGTCTCTGACCATCTCGTGTAGTATGTCTGTAGTCTCTGACCATCTTCTGTAGTATATCTGCAGTCTCTGACCACCTCCTGTAGTCTGTCTGTAGTCTCTGACCATCTTCTGTAGTATGTCTGCAGTCTCTGACCATCTCCTGTAGTCTGTCTGCAGTCTCTGACCATCTTCTGTAGTATGTCTGCAATCTCTGACCATCTCCTGTAGTATGTCTGCAGTCTCTGACCATCTCCTGTAGTATGTCTGTAGTCTCTGGTCATCTCCTGTAGTATGTCTGCAGTCTCTGACCATCTCCTGTAGTATATCTGCAGTCTCTGACCATCTCCTGTAGTATGTCTTGTGAAGGGATTAGCCCAGTAGTGGGTTGTGCTTGACCCCCTGGATGAGTTAGAGCATGGTGAAAGAGGCTCAGCATGACAGCTGGATCTTGGTGAAGAAACTTGTGCTTTATTTACAAGTCTGTTTAACACGCGGTGCATAGATTCAAAATAGCAAAAAAAAATACAAACAGAAAATAAATCCTTGCCACACTGGGCATCTAAGTGCAGACACGGGTTCCTATCCATCTGTCTGGATACAGCCTATCACTGCTCAGACATGGGGGGGTTCACACACAGTCTCCCAGTCCAAGATCACACAGATCTACTCTCACCCCAGGATGGTTTGGTTGCTCCCCAGTCTGTCCTGCACAGCAAACTGGTTCCAGGTTGGAGCATTCTCTCTAAGCAGCCTGGGAATTTTATAGAGCCCAGAGCCCTTAACCTGCTACAGCTGAGCTCATTACATCATCAGTGAGCCAAACAGGCTGAATACACAGCACAAAAGGAGCAACAGTCTGTGTAGAGCATGAACCTGCGACAAATATATCTCCCATCCTGGATACATCCCCTAGTTCTTCCTGCCTTCCTGTCACAGTCTAAAGTCTCTGACCATCTCCTATAGAATGTCTGCAGTTTCTAACATCTCCTGTAGTCTGTCTGCAGTCTCTGACTATCTCCTGTAGTATATCTGCAGTCTTTGACCATCACCTGCAGTATGTCTGCAGTCTCTGACCATTTCCTGTAGTATGTCGGCAGTCTCTGACCATTTCCTGTAGTATGTTGGCAGTCTCTGACCATTTCCCATAGTATGTCTGTGTTCTGTCCTCGCTACACATTTCCCTGTGTGTAATTCGATATGCAGCTAAGCCCTCCTATTCTGCAGTAAGCCAGGATGAATGTAATCTTGAAGCTTTCTGACCAAACAATGTGGGGTGAAACTATTGGGAAAAAAAGAGATGAGGAATACATACAACCAATGTATGAAACATACAATACACCATGAAATAAGTAGGCTGCGGTTGGCAGTAGGTCTTGCGATGCTGCCTGCAGGGGTTGTAAGTTAATTTCACAACATGTGCATCAGGGATGATGGCTGATTTCGTCTGCCTCAGTTCTTAAGACAGAGTCTGAGCTTCCAAGATGCACCGGTTTTCTTTTACTAGAATGAAGGATGATGGGAGCTTTTATTACCTAATCAGTTTCTGGTTTCTGCAAGACAGTAAATTTAATTTGGGCTCCATCCAGTGGCCACACTTAATATTGCAGGGAGAACAAACATAATGAATTTCCCTGCTGAAGGCAGAACAGTCTGCGGTCTCTGACAGTTCTTTGTATAGTTACATTTACTGAATATTATCTGTGGCCCTTTGGTGATGTCAGGGACCATATTTGAAGCCCTCTACTTCAATAAGTTGACCCTCAGTGATCTAAACTTATGGTTGAGTTACTGGTGATAAATCTGTACAGGGATCTCTTCATATCTCATATCAAGAACACAAACAAATGGGGTCTCTATTTAGCCCTGGGGCTGCTACATTGTAATAATTGGGGTCACAGTTTGGTGTCTTCTCAGTAACAGAACTCACTCCACCAACAGATCAGAAATGGAAGATCCTCCCCGGGGAAAGTGTGTGTGTGCGTGTGTGTAGAACATGATTCTAATCTCATATTTCTATTAATAAAGAAAAAAAACTTGTGCCACAGAAAAAAAATATATAATACAATCAAATTCTAAATGCTGCTGCTCACAAAAGGAAAAAAAAACAATCAAATATAAATATAAACACTCCACAGCACAAACAAATATATAAAATGTGTAAAAAATCTAAGCAAAAAGTACAAACGTATATAAAAAATGTGCTCCAATCCCAGAAATAGTGCTCAACAAAATCTTCAAAGTGCGCTCACACCATCCGTGATTGACCATCCAATCCCCACTCACCAGATGCGGTGGACTCTTTGCTGGTATGGCTAAAGAGTCAAACAAGCTTTAAAGACGGGGTGTATCCTCCCAGATACATCTGCACTTCATATCCTCCAAAAACAATTCCCACCATTAAATGGCAATGAGAAACAAGCAAAGAACACAAATAGTGCAATACTGTATAAAACTCTTTGAAAAAATCTGCCCTTATTGCACTCACATGATATAAATTGTGTTCACACTTCTATAATAAGCTGAGAGGCTCATCATTATGACACAAATCCATAAATTCCTCCTTTGCAGAAGTGGACTGACAGTACATAATATGAATTACAATCTCTCCTTAAGGAAAGCAGGAAGTCACTCCGGAGCGCCGCAAACCAGCGTGCGCTCCACTCACCAGATGTGACGTCACTACGCATCTACCAGAACCAGAAATACGTTGACGCATTTGGCCCCTCCTCCAGGGCGTTATCCAAGACACTATTTTCCAGCTTCTCTCATCATTTATACCTCCCCAGTACTCCTCCCCTTTCTCCATTAGGCCAAATCTGCTATTATATTAACCCTATATCACCTCATCCCTCCAATCCACTTCCCAATCACAATCTAAAGGCCATCATTCATAATACAATATTGAATGTTTAATTCATCTAACACTAAAAGACTCTCTTCATCATAATATAAGTAAACAATATTTAATAAAATCAGCATTCATTATTTAAAAACCTCTAAAAATATATATATGTTTTAATAAAAAAAAAATTAAATGAAAATAAATAATAAAAATAAAATAAAAAATAAAATATAAAATAAAAATAAAAAATGAAAAATAAAATAAAAATAAATAAATAACTTAAAATAAAAATACAAAATAAATATAAAAACAAAAAAATTCATTAAAAAAAAATGTATTGTTTTTGGACGCTACCAATAAGAAACAATTAAGATCAATGTCTATATTTAACCCCTTAGGGGACAAAGTATTCAATTTCAGGATCCACCTTGTCTCATTCTGTGAAATTGCCACCATGCCAATGGGGCTCAAAATTTGTCGATCCCACAGAACCTGAGCAAAGATGGATCCCTGTTGTGGCACTTTCTAAAATGGTAGGACAAACTATGATGCCTGAAACCTTTTCTAATATATCTAATGTGCTTACCAAGTCTTACAGATAAATTTCTCGTTGTTCTCCCTACGTATTGAAGGTGACAAGGACATTCCAGAGGATAAGTTACATGATGATTACCACATGAAATAAATTTGAGGAGTCATTTAGATTTAGATTACAGATTTAGATTACAGATTAGAGCTTGGTGGGATATTGTAACACTTGAGAAATAAATGAAAGAAAGGAATTACACCTAGGAGACCAGGATGGGAGGAAGCCCCCAATGATGGTTTAACGAGTATGGAATTAGATGAATGGTTTTCTTTTTTAATCACGTGGAGAAAAAACTTTTGGAGCTCATCATCCAAAGGAGAAAAAAGAAATTAAGATCTATAGAAGAAAAAAATCATATACTGAAAGAGAAAATGATAAGATTTGAGGATACAACAGATTACAAAGAAAGAATGAAACAGTTACAGGAATATATTAAAAAAAGTGGATCAGGATACACAAAAAAAAGAAATTAAAATTTAAAAAATACTGTGGAGACACACAGGACTACAAACAAAATTTGGTCTATAAATGGCAAGAGGATAATTTAAAAGGTAATATGGAATCTAGAGCTTCAGCAGAGGAAAGGGATGTTCCAGCTATGAATGTCGCTTCTCCTTCCAAAAATAAGGAACCCCTCAGTCAAGCTAAAATAATAAAAAAAAATCACAATTTAAGCCTAAATTTAAAGAGGTCAATAATCAAGAGTGTGAACCTTATTTTAGATTACCAGTCCAGAATAGATTTGAACTTTTGATGGATTGGAATCAAACATCATCACAACCCTATCCTTATTCCCATGGAGGGAATTTTCAGAGGAGGAATTATGGGAGTCCCCTGTGGAGGGGGGGGGGGGGGGGGTTTCAATTCAGTAAGAGGGGCGGTGGTTCCTATGTTCCTCCAATGAGGGGAAGAGGGGGATGGAGACGAGAAGGAGGGGCTGTAGAGGGGGGGAAAGAGAAAAAAGAAAGAGAGAGGTTTAAATCAGGGGATCTTCAACCAACCTTAGTGATAAGTGATTCACTGAGGAGGAATTGAGGGTACTCAAATTTGGGACTTAAATTTGCACCGAACAGAACCTTCTCTGCGTACACAATAATAGACGGGTTCTAAACAGTGTCTGTACTTTATTGGCACGTTGCAGATAGATGGTAAACCTATAACAAGAAATATAATATGCAATCACTATAAGATAAACATAACATAGATAAAATACCACTCAGTATAGCCATGTTCCTCTTCTCTAGCTACATATAGCAGAGAAAAAGGGACATTAATTACCTCCAATGCTGTCAGATGGAAAGAGATAGAGTTAGGTCGCTTCTCTCATGTAGAGAATTGTGGTTTCCTATGAGGTGGTTTACTTCCTTTAGTTCACTTTTTGTATTGTGGAAAAAGTGATGACCTTTACAGCACATCCTGGATTAGCTAAATCAGCGTTTTTTTTCAACCACTGTGCCGCGGCACACTAGTGTGCCGTGAGATATTGTCTGGTGTGCCGTGGGGAAAAATTGCAATCTCATCCGTAACATGTGGCCTCGGGCTCACAAATAGACCAATCATTAGAACAGCAATGGGCAAACTACGGCCCGCGGAGCGTGATACTGTCAGGATGATCTGTCCCCCTCGACGTATCTGCGCATGTGCCGGAGATCGCCGATCGGCTGCTAATGCCTGAAACTGGGCACATGCGCAGATACGTCGAGGGGGACAGATCCTCATAGGAGACAGATTTTCATGCTACACCAGAACGGCGAGAGGAACGCGCGGAGCAAAGGTAAGTGAATTGACACAGGGGGGGCTTGGGGACTTAATATGGGGGATGAATTAATATGGGGGATGAATTACTATATGGGGGATGAATTACTATGGGGGATGAATTACTATATGGGGGATGAATTACTATGGGGGATGAATTACTATGGGGGATGAATTACTATGGGGGATGAATTACTATATGGGGATGAATTACTATATGGGGATGTATTACTATATGGGGGATGAATTACTATAGGGGGGATGAATTACTATATGGGGGATGTATTACTATATGGGGGGATGAATTACTATATGGGGGATAAATTACTATGGGGGATTAATTACTATAGGGGGGATGAATTACTATGGGGGATGAATTACTATATGGGGGATGAATTACTATATGGGGGATGAATTACTATATGGGGGGTGAATTACTATGGGGGATGAATTACTATGGGGGATGAATTACTATATGGGGGATGAATTACTATGGGGGATTAATTACTATATGGGGGATGAATTACTATGGGGGATGAATTACTATGGGGGATGAATTACTATATGAGGGATGAATTACTATGGGGGATGAATTACTATGGGGGATGAATTACTATATGGGGGATTAATTACTATGGGGATGAATTACTATATGGGGGATTAATTACTATGGGGGATGAATTACTATGGGGGATGAATTACTATATGGGGGATTAATTACTATGGGGGATGAATTACTATGGGGGATGAATTACTATATGGGGGATGAATTACTATGGGGGATGAATTACTATATGGGGGATTAATTACTATGGGGGATGAATTACTATATGGGGGATGAATTACTATGGGGGATGAATTACTATGGGGGATGAATTACTATATGGGGGATGAATTACTATATGGGGGATGAATTACTA